AATAGGTTATTGTATACGCGATAATTGTACATCAGACAAATATTTCTTATTCAAATGAAGTATGGTCTGCAAAGCATGTATAATCATATGGTAGGTCGGGCCGCGTCAGTTATATCTCCCTTATATTTCATACTCCTTGAGTTCCTCTTTACTGAAGGGTCACATGAAATCCTACAAGAGTTTGTTCAAAGGGACTGTAAGCTTAATTTCAAGCAACTTTATGTTTATAAAGTGGTATGTCCGATTTATAGCGATACCCTTTAAACCATTGTATGATCAAGGATTTCGTAGATATTCTTATTTATATTAATTGCGAATAAACCGCGCGATTGCAGTACACTAACAAGGAATGTACAGTGTAAAGGGTACCGTTGTGAATCGGGCATGCCTCTTGATAAATGGAAGATCACTTGAAATCCATCAGCAGTCCCTTTAAATATATTATTTACATATTCTCCCGACCTGAGTTATCGCCATGAGGAAGAACCAGAAGATGCATGAGGAGAAGTAGTTGAAGGTGTTCTGGGTCATGTGGATCAACATGTTTTCCGGCTGCATCACCCCGACATACCACAGGTAGGGGGCGAACGTGATCCCGGCGATTGTCAACTCGACAAAAGCAGGATCGGAAAAATCTTGGAAGAGCGGAAGCTGTTCTATCACTAAAAAAGGTGTATTTTGATTTGTACCCGAAAAAAAACATTATTATGCTATGTAGATAATTATGTTCTCGGTGCCTATCAAAGTTTTGAATTATTTTAATTAAAATTTGTAATAAAAATATGGAATGCGTAGATTTATGAATTAGTTTTAGACAAATTTTTTTTTTAATGTTGAATATTATATTTAAATGTACATTTTCTTACTTTCAGTGAAAATATCGGCTAGAATTCTATCTTGTCCAGGGGTTTTCTCAGAGGTTTGGATTTTCTTTTCTTCAGCAGCACTTTCATCCTTTTTATCCCAGGAGTCGTAAACACCTGATACACCTATATATATATATACTAGTTATGGAACCCGGCGTTGCCCAGGGTACTCATAGTCAGGCGCGCAACTACTAAAGAGAATAGAATATATATTAGAGTGGAATTTTAAAAAACCCTCGATATGAATTTTGTCAGTCCTTTTTAGCCTGAAAGGAAGTTCAAAGTGTACAAATCATGTAAATGTTCACAAATTATATGCAGTGGAGTACATTAACACAGTATNGAGTACATTAATACAGTATGTTCTCTAGACTATCCATTTCAATTTCGAATTTTTTAAAGCTGTTAAATAAACTTTATAAAATGAATTAGGTGAATAAAAAACATCAATTGACTTATAGTTATAACGGAAAATCATCGTTTGGAACGTGAAAGCCATAGAGTCAATGATAATTGGTCAATTATGAAACCAGCCTATTTCATAATTTGGTTTTCTTTTAACAATAATTTTAGATTTTCTATAAAATGATAGTCCAGGGCCCAAAAAGTGATATAGCAAAAATATGTGAAGTACACCTGCAGTATGGAAACAGTACAACAAAATGGCCGTTTTACACTTTTTTCTAGTAAATTCCACTCTAATATATATTCTATTCTCTTTGGCAATTACGGGGGGCAGTGGGGGAAAGCCCCCCCCGTAGGGGATGCAAGAAGTTCTTAATAGGGGCCCATATAGTTCCAAATATGACTAATTTTCACG